CGGGGCCCAATTAAGTTGCTGCAAACAAAGTTGCCTCGGCAAAGGCCCCGATAAACATAAATCTCAATGTGTATTTCTCATCGACTGTGGGCAATGTCTTTATCGGTAGCCATATACCATCTACTCCCCCCACCGGGCATTATCAATCTTTCATCTTCATCTGCATTTATTATAGCGATGCCTCCGCCCCGCCCTCCTTGGGTATTCATTTATGCATTTTATTGGCTCTTGGCTAACCTGTAGCATCATCAATCATCTCAATGGCTATTCAGCTACAATCTGCTCTGCCTTTTGTGTTTATATTTATTATTTTGACTGGACCAATGGTCTGGCTTACATAAGTGGTTCACCTGCTGGCCAACTTCGGAGCCCAGCATTTGGCAAATAATTTTAATCAATTATGCAAATCGTATTTATTGGGCTGTAATTTATGCGATTTGTGGATTTGACGATGATGTGGGGTGAAATGAAGAGAGATGAACTGAGCCGGGCTAAGTTGACAGCGGAAACCTTTACTCATCTTTCCGGAAGTGCTGTGCGTGCCCACTCATTTACAAGTAGATATGATGACGACTTATTTAGGTATACCCATTCTGGTTTCAGGTTTACAGAACTGATTCCGAAAACAGTCCTCCCCAGGCAGATAAGAGCCCAGGAGGGAGATAAGAACCCTGTATGGCAAATACAAACTCAAATACGCACCAGTAAAGTATTCGCTGTTCTTTCCCTTAATATCCAACCAGATATCCAGATTTAATGAATGAAATCAACTTGAATTAAATTCCTCCATATTGCGGCTGTGTTTTTCCGCCGTTTTGTTTACACACACTGCAGCTGTTGAATCACCACAAAAGCAAGAAATGTATTTTTCGACTGCCTTGCTTTGTTTCGCTTTGAAGGTAATAAATTTTAAACACAATTGCACATTGCATAAACAATTTCAAAACTGCACTCGGAACGATCGGGCTGCGGCCTGTGTGTGGATTACATTTTTAGCCATTGGCTAGCCAAAACACCCGATATTTAACTGGTTTATTTCGATATGGCGAATATTTTTGTTTACCCAGGCCTTACGACGCCCTCGCGCGAATCTTTCAGCGAGGCCCACGCACTTTTCGCGGCATCGCCAACTTCAATTGCCGAAGATACATGGGTTCCGCACAGAAACAGAAACAGAAACGGATGGTCTGAGATATGAGGAGAGTGGTATGGGTATAGGTAGAGATATGGGTAGAGGTAGCGAGCCAGCGATCGAGTTGTGCGCCGCTGGAGAGCTCGGCACGTATTAATTTCTGTGGCAGCGCTAAAGTATCCGAAAGATACATTCCGCTGGTCGCGCACAAGCGCATATGTGGGCAACTTCGCTGCCGACGTCGCCAACTTGTTTGACAGAAAAGCAAAGGCAAATCCAAACTGAAAACAAACACAAACGAGAGCACAGATCTTCAGCCCTCCCCAGTCCCCCTGGATGTTTATATTTACACATCCCGAAACCTGGAAGGGGGGCAGAAGATCATCGCGATGGAGGGTCATATGGGGGTGTCGTAGAATTTAATAAAAAGCGACAAATTGTTGTCACTGCCGTCTCAAGTGGCAGCAGCCCTCGTTCATCTCTCGGTGGCTTTGTTTAGTTGTAGACGAGCAGACAAGCAGACAAGTATCTCTGTTCATTCTAATTCTGGCATCTGACAGATATTCTCTGAAAACACTAATTACCAGCTGGCTGTGTGAATCTGTGGGTTTAATCACCAACATGATTGGATTTAACAGTAAACTCTATCTGCAGAACCTTTGGTCAGGTGATTCCATCGTATGCAAATGACTCCCATCAAAATTGGACAAGATTGTTGAGTTTTTGGCTAATTAAACGTTTGGGCCAACGGGGCCCCAAGCAGCAGAATGAGGTTAGCAGAGAGTATCTTTGATTTGCACATATACAATCCGAATGCTTCCGCCTCAAAGTGCCTGGTGCGGAAATGGCTCTTACCAATTCGTGTTGTGGTTTTGCGGCTTCTGCTCCCTTTTATCTGGAGTGTTCTATTCAAGTTTTCACTGTCTCATCCAATTATTTATCGGGAAACCCAACAATGGAGCTGCTTTCTCCGCTTTCGGGTCGCATAGATCAAATACCTGCTCTACAAAAGCAACACCTACGAAGTGCTTGAACTTGAATATCGATGCCTTGGCCCCGAAACTGGTCCGGAGGAAGCCCCATGCCATAGATGGTGTACCTGCACCTAATGATGCATAATTACATGTGGGCTAAGTTTCAGTTTCCAGAGCATTTTCATTAGTTTGATGGCTTTTCTGGCCGGGCGTTCCGGCCATAATTATATAATCATTTTGATTGGATCCGGCAATGTTTGCGGCCACGGCGGCGTCGTCGTCACATAACAAAGATTAATCGTGGCCCTGTCGACGGGTCAGGAGACAAGAAATCGAGCTAGGCGAGCTACAACTCAAGTTAAGAGGTAGGTATCTTGCAGATACTTTGTTACATGCACGCCCACTGCAAGGTCGAATGGGAGAGGGCGAAGTGGGAGGTGGGTGGCTAGTGGGTGATGCAGATTCCCGAATGCAGATTCCATTGCAGCATTTTATTCAATTATAACGGCGCTCTGCAGGTGGAACGCCCACACTTGACTTTGCCCGCAGAGCTTTGGGTTTTCAAGAGACTCCTAAGACATTTATAAATTAGTTGCAATTTGTAACTGCTTCAGATGTTTTTGCTACTTAAGGCGGGCAGGCATCGCATTTCATTAGTCCCAAATTGGCTTCATCACGTGATCGTAGATTGTGGATTGTGGATCGTTAGATAAACCCCGGGCCAAAGGGGAAATTCAAACAACTGAAAACGGAACTCGCACCAAATGGCTGCCGGCGGAGTCTCACATTCTCACATAAATTTCCAGAAGCGGCTTCTATTTTTGATGAGCAGAGGCACCTCTCGCATCTCGCATCACTCCAAATTAATTGCATGGCTATTGATAGGGCTCTTCTTTGTTTCAAGGGACTGACTCTCGGCATTCAGCTGATATATACTTATCCGGCTCTGGAAATTGGGCTTTGCGTGCCGCACGCCACTCGCATTCACGAAAATTCATAACACTCGCCACTAGGAATACGAAGTGTCAAAAACGGTTTCAAAGGCCCAAAACCAATGTGAACTCGCTTGAATAATGTATTATGGTATAATTGAGGGGGGTTGCCGGCAGGCAATTCCGTTTCGGGGCTTTTCCCAAAGCCAATCAGGTGGAAAAATTATGCAAAAGTAAATAGAAGCGGTAAAATCGGGTCAACAAAGATGTCAACAGGAAGCAAGCGCTTAAATACACCGAAGTAAATTGAAAGATTTTGTGTAGACCCGCTTTTGAAAACGGCTCCTTCTTTATATTCTGGGAATGCAAAAAGAATTGAAAGCACAAATAAAAATAATAACAAAAATTAAAAGAAGTTATAAAATAATTAATACAATAAATAAAGTACCATTTAAATTTTAACATTTCCACTTGTCGGATGAGAAGACTATGAAAAACTAAAGGAGGGTTTTAAACCGTGATACCGTATGACAATTTAGAGTTCATTGAATTAAGCCCCACTTTTAGTTTCGAGAAATCAACAACTAAAGTTTAAAGTAGGGCTGTTAAGAATTATAAAAAAATATCGTATCGATGATATTTTATTTTTTTTTAATTTTATAAGGATATTTAAAATATCAAGTAAAAATGTGGATGTATTCGATGTGGTTAATTTTTTTTTATTTCAACTAAAGTCGATTTAGAGCTGTAACAGTTTTTCAATTCTTTTATTTTTCGAAAACAATCTACATTGGGAAAATTAAAAAACCAACTCAATAATTTCAAAGATAATTCATACAAAATATTGTATTTTTTATATTTATCCAAAACCAACATAACGATATAAATATATCATATTTATTAAAAAAATATTGGTATATCGATATTATCGATATATCAACAGCTCTAGTTTAAAGCGTAGAGTTAGTTTAAGTTAGTTAGCGTAAGGTTAGTTTTCACATTATCCTTAAAGAGATTAAGAGGAAAAAGTATGCATAGGGAGAGGCAAATTAGTCAGGTGGAAAAGAAATTTCTAGATAAATGTGAAATGGGCAACCTGCATTGATGAAGTTATAAGCAAGGCAGATAACGAAAAGGAATTGAAGGATATTTTATCATAATTAAATAACCTGCCTTAAAGGAATCCTCTGCTGGCGAAACCAAAAAGGATGGCGCAGCATTTCATCCACATGGGGCACCGCCATTGCAATCCCCACAGCCACACACTCGACGGGCCACAGTCACCATATTAGTAAGCTGAGGTGGGGCATGCCACTGCCACTGTCATGCCCCACTTAACCATAAATACTCGAATTTGCATTGCTGCCACTTGCCACTCGGGCAAGGAGAGCACTACGAGGAGGATCCGCAGACCCTCTTGGCCAATTCGGACCATTTCAATTAGCAGACACCTCTCTGAACAGGCCCCGCAAAATGAACCCGGCCATAGCGAGATACACATTCACAGAGCGCACATATGTGTACTTGTACATTCAGAACATTGGGCTGGAAAAAACTGCTGGCCAATATCCTGGCGGAAATTAATGTTGCTGCGGCAAGCACAATGCCAGAAGGAGGGGAAAAAAAACGGAACGGAAAAAATGGAATGCCACAAACCGATATGATTGGAGGGGGAATCGAGGGGAATGCCCGGCCTTTCATCGCTGTCAGCAGTTCCTTTTTCCTGCTGTTCACATCGATGGATAAAACGGGGGGCTTAGACCGCAGCCAGGCACGCCCCCACTCGAAAACCCCTATCTCCCCCTGGCCGAAATCGAAATCCCCGGAATATTGAACGTGCACATCGGATATGCAACGCGGTGGGGATGCCGTATAATCGCTATCAATTATATTGCTCAGCACGGCATTGTCTGGCACTCCGGGCCTCTGACAGAACATCACCTCGTCTCATCCAGGACTTACCTTGCCATCGCCATCCGCATGGGCATGGTATCGCACCTCCAGCGATCCACCGAGCACTGCATACCAAAAGCGACCCTGTTCGCCGGCACGAAAAACTGGGGGGGGGGGTGAAAAATGATAGAGGGTCTCCGTTAGCCAACGCCGCTGCATATCAAATCCACTCCATCCAACACTCACGAGTCACTCCCTTCTCCAAGTCCTCGTAGAACCCGCACATGGCCAACTGCTGGAGCGCAGATCCCGGAAGGCGACACAGCGGCTCCACGCGACGCAGGCGGCACGAAATGAGCTCCACATCACGCAGGTTTCGGTCGCAAGGACTGCAAAGAATGTGTTTTTCATTAGTGGTTGGTCACGAGAATATGTTATTATAATTACTAGCAGTGTTAGTTTGGGTTTCAGCATACAAAAAGTAAATATTAAATTTATAAACCAAATATTATGCCATTCCCCTTTTATTTATTTAATCAGCTTCCCGCGTCAAAAGAATAAATCAATAAATTCAATTTGAAAGTATAACAAGTTTTGAATTACAAACCAAACAACAAAATACAATTCCTATTATTTATTCAGTACCTAAGTTTTATGTTCGACATAATATTTGTATGTTTTTATTATTTTAAACAAGCTTTAGTACTATGAAAAATGTAAAACTGATAGGTATTTAACTTAAATCAAGTGGTTTGCCAAACAAAAAAAAACATTGTGTTATTTAATTTGTACACGTATATAAGTAAGTATCCACCCGTAATTTATTTATTCATTGTAATTGAGAACATAAACCGAAGTTTAATCTAATTTGCGTTGCTTGTCATACACTCTATACAATTAATATTACTTGCCTCCTCTAGCCTTACATTATTTTTAATTAGTAAAATTAAGCCCATTACTCGAATCGCCAGCTCAACAAAAAAAATTATTCAAAGATAAATATTTGTGTTTTTAAATTGGTGCAAATGAATAAAGTAAAAAATCCTTGGTTAGTAGATTCCGAACAATAGACAGCAATAAAGCAGAGGGAAATCAAAAAAAGAAATATAACGAGTATTTTGCATTTTAATTTACTGACTCTACGCAAAGCACTGCACTTGGATTTGTTCTATTTTTGATGGTTGAACAAGGCCATAAACTGAATAAAAAAGAGATGGGACGGCAAAGGAAAGTATTAGTTCAACAATAAACTCAAATTAAAAATTCCAGTGTCATTTGTGCATGGTTTGTGCGCGCATTAAATATGCAAATTCTACTTTTTCTGTCCCACTCTGTCTGTGTGCTAGTCAATTGAAAAATGAATAAATAAGTATAAGAGTTTCCGGGCAAGAATCTGCAGGAAACGGAAGTCCACCCAGGAAAATGAGAAGAAAGGGAAACAAAAAAAGGCGAAGCTGTAGACCAAGCAGCAACTAATTGCATAAAATAAAAAGTTTAGCTGTTAGATCTAATAAACACCCTAGAATTCAATCTGAAATTTTAAAAATAAGTTAATTTTCTATTCTAGATGCAAATATAGCTCTCGTTCTTCGTGACCATTTCGCTAAAAGGGAGATTAAAAAATTAAATAAGGCGCTGATGGATATACCGGAAAGAGACTATTTGGCATGTTTCGAGTATTGGAAAAAATCTATTTTTTCGGGAGGGGATTACTTTAAAGGGGATAAAATTGATTTAGTAGAATAAATACAAATTTTTTCATTTTACAAACCAATTCACAGCAGTAGCAGGGCTATTGAAAATAAATCTTTTAGCCCTCTCTTTAAAGCTAAAATATTATATTATTGTGTTTTAAATATTTAATTATATAGAATCCTCATATTCTGTTTTTTAAATATTTAATCCATATAAAATCCTCATATTCTGTTTTTTAGTCAAACTCAACTGATTGCCAGTATTATATTTAAGATTTAATGTGCCTGCTCTGATGTACCCACTTTTTTGTTTAAGAAGTATAGAGTTACCAAAAATTAAACCATTTTTTGCCACAAAAAGTTTTAGATTTTATTAAGGAACCTTAGCCCACCATAAATCCATCAGTACCGCCCACATTAAAGACTCCTCGCTGAGCTTCCGCCTAATTAAAAATTCCATAAAATTCAGAGAGAATGGGTGACTCCAGGCGGAGGGATCAGAGGAACGGGGTGACCTGGGTGAACTGCTCCGGCTTGCAGACAAAGGCAGCTTGCAAATCAGAAATGGAACACAAGTTGGCCTTCGCCGTGGCATCATCTGCATTGAGGGCTACTTTTGCAGCGAGACGTCTACTTTTTGGCACAGCCGTTTTCAGACTTTCAGCTGGATGCTGAAGGTAAGCGGCTGTCTTGCCAGGCTCATACATAATTCATTCGCCAGTAGAAGCGGCAATTTCGGGAAACCGAGGAACGCCGACCGGGGGGATGATGCCGTCCCAATGCCGCCAACTGTTTCTGGGCTTGTCGTTAACCAAACAGTCGGGTCCTAAGTGCTTTTGTGGGTTGGGGAGAGGAGGAAATGGAGGGAAAGGGAAGGTTAGGGGTCCTGGGGGTGGTCCAAAAAGCCGGAAGCGCGTTGGGGCGCATCCTAGGCAGCCAGCCAGCCAACCCATGGCTCGTTGTTTATTATAATGGTTTTTGCGGTTTTTAGGCACACGCCCCCAAAAGTTTAGTTTTGGAATTTTGTAATTGCCGTCCTGGCGATTCGTCAGCCTTAAAGATACGCACTGAACTTCGGCGATACATTAAAGCTGCAATCGGCACACGTGGCGTATGATAAATGTGTGGCGGCACTCGTGAGTAAGACGGCTGCTCGCCGGAAGCCATCAATATCAATTGCTGTCTGGCTTTGCCACTTTGCGCTTTGCGAACTGCGATTACCTTTGCCAAGGATTCGCAGGATTCATTGGCTTCTTCATTTGCATGCACCGACGTGTTCGCAGGGCGAGGTGTCCTTAAGCCCAGATCGCTCTTGATAAGCCGAATTACCTGGCAGCGATTCCCGCTGCGTGACTTGCCCTTCAGGCTGCTAGAACTTGGGCCATTAATTCTGCCCAAATTAAATCATTTATTTTGCTGGCTTTTGCCAAAGTGCCAGGCCATTTGTATTAAATGCAGAATGACTTGGAAAAGTGCCTGAGCCATTAGGAAGTCATGGCATGGCGAATGTAATTTGGCAAAGGGCTCTGATTGTTATTTTAGTTGGCCCTGCTGCCTGCATCCTGGTGCAACTGGGCTCCCCCTTTGAGTGGGGCAAACAAAAGGCAGCGAATTGCAAATATTTGCTCCGGGCAAACAGTTTGCTTTCAGCCTTTGCCACTTGACCTTCCTTTTTTGCAGTCACATGAGTGCCCGCTGACCCCTGACCCCTCCGAGGGGGAAGCGTTTAAGCGTTGACAGAGCATGAAATTTGAAGAGATTGCCCTATGATTGATGGTGTGGCAGTAGCCCGCCCTTTAGGATACCATCAATGATATATAAGACCACTCCGCAATAATAGAATGTGCCACTAAACTCATGGCGGCACCCGTCAAATGATTCTGCCAGTTGAAATCCAGCAAATTGCATCAAGTGGCCTTCTGTGGAGAAATGTGTGTTTGATTCACTGCCATTAACGCTTGAGCAAATTGATTTAGACACACAGAAAAAACAATGTTGATTTTATGATGAAATTGGCTTGATTTATATCTTACAGATGCCATATCTAGAAATATAATTGTAAGCTAGGAACGGAATATATTTTATCTTTTCCTGTCCTCCTTTCTAAAATGAATTATTTAAACTTTCCGGGTAATCCAACCACAAAAATTGCTGTCATCAGAGTTTAAAACCGCAACCACCGGTTTATCTTTTCACATGAACGTTATGTTATCATAAGCCCAAACTTCAAAGCTCTGAGAATGGTGCTCTTTTATACATTTCCACTTTAATCGATATTATGTTTAATTTTATAACAATGCTGACAGATAATGCTGTCATAAAAAAAAGGCAATGCATAATAAACCACTCCAATGGATATTCATGTAATGTATAATAATAATAAAATGCTTTGATAATGAATATTCATCCAAACGTTTTGGATGTTATAATTCTTCCGCCTCCATTTTAATCAATATTATGTTTAATTTTTTAGTAGTGCTGGCAGATAATGCTGTCATAAAAATAAGCCAAAGCATAATAAACGATATGACAATATATAAACTTTTGTGTAATGCCTTGATTATGAATATTCACCCAAACGTTTTGAATGTTACGTTACATCTTCCGCCTCCATTTTAATCAATATTATGTTTAATTTTATAATACAAATAAGCCAAAGCACAATAAGCCATATGACAATATATAAACTGTTGTATAATGCCTTGATTATGACTATTCATCCAAACGTTTTGAATGTTATAATGCTCTCGCCTCTTTAGAGATACTTTTTTCTGCACTGTTGTTCTTTCATTAAATTTCGGTTTTCAATTCAAGCCTGATGATATAATTGTTTTGCCAATGGCGGCTCAGTGAGTCACGCGGAATTGGTATTGAGATTTAATAAAGCGGATAATTCGTGTCCACAATATGGATTGGCCTTTTGGCAAAGACCCAAGATGGAGGAAGATCGAGTGGGGCCGCAGATGTTGGTTCTTGACAAATGAATGTAGAGCATGACGGCAACATTTTAAAATGTTTCGTTCTGTTTTGTTTGTACTCCATGTCGGGCTTTTCATTTAACGTGCATGTGAGTACGTGTCTTCTCTGGGAAAACAAGAGGAAAGCAGCTTGTGCACTCGACTTGAAAATGCGTCTGAAAATTTAAGAAATTGTGCAGCATTCAAGGGAGAATTCAATTTGGTACCCCCAAACTTTGAGATTGAGCTTAAAACTTATTACCCAAACTGAGGAAAAGTTTCTCATTTCAATTGAAGCTAAGTCAGGTGTTAATTATGCTCTGATTAAAGTGCTTTGCCTGCCTTAAAAAGTATGCTTTTATTTAATCATGAAACACTCATTCCACTCACCGTTTGTCCATTGCAGTTATCCATTCCATTGCCATGTTTGCGATGCTTTAATTAAATTCCCTTTGCGCGATTGGTTTTTGTCGTTTTAAAAATTAATATAAATTATTAAAAGCACATTGCTCTGTCGCGCCGCAACTTTGAGCAGCGAACATAAATCGAAGCGGAAGGAGGGTCCAAAGTTGTGCGATTAATGCCGCATTGCGGGCCGGGAAAGCGAAATCAAAACACCGGAAAATGGCAGTCAGTCGGTCGTCACCTCAAGCCGCGATGTTGCCTTCAATTTGCGATTCCCTTTGAGCACCACCTGCCATTCCAGTTCTTGGCCTAAACCAGCATCGCACTCGAGATCCGCTTTAGGGAGCGACAGAGCGAGCTCCTTTCAAGTTTCTGAAGCAAGGGGTAAGCGAACGTAACTTGTTGATTAAACGAAAGTTTCGAAATAGATTTGGATTTGAATTTGAGTTTACGCTGGCTGAAGCTGGGGATTCCGTGCAGCTGCAAAGTTAAATTGGGCAAATGTGAGACAGTCTGAATTCAGTGAAAAGTAAGTGTAAGCCAGCCTTGGGCCCCCCCGGCAAATGGAATGTAATATAATTTATATGAAATGCCAAGAGCAGATGTAAAAGTTTTCCTCTTTCACATTTTTTCAGCTGCAAACTAATGTGGATTGCTATTGTAGGACTGGCCAAAAAGGGTTTGCCAACTGCTGACAGCTGCCCAGAAGGCCCTAATGTGTGGGTCTGTGTCGCCCAACAAAAGCAAATGTTATGAATAAGCTTTGATGCCAGCAGACCTGGCAGAAGGGGGTGGTACCAACAAACCGACGGGCTGCTAATCTAACAATAGTTCTCCAGATAACAATAGATTACTCCACACACGACGTATACCTAATGCGCTGTCAATGGTCATACTGATTTCCCAGAATGCCAACATCCACAAACCACGATCTCCCCTCGAATCACCCTAATGTGTTTGAATTGTTTACCCACTGCACTATCTATGTCCCATATAATGGCTGCGTATTTTGTTTCTGCGTCAATGGAAAACCATAATTTATACCACCCCATTCAGAAGTGCAGTGTCAGTGGTGGGGAAAAGTAAGTGCAGGAAGTACCTACGGTTACACAAATGTCGGCTCGAAAGGAAGACACGCGAGAAGAGCCATCAGTTATCGTATGAATAATTAAGTATACGCCACCTTGGCCAGCGGAGGCGCCCCAAAGTATGCCACGTTTTCTGACGTGTCGCTTGCTATATGGCTGCATCGTATGTACCATCGTATGTAAATGGTGACAAAGGCCCCGGGGAGATAAGTCCGATATTGTCGATACTCGGTTCTGCGTGGGCCGATTCGATAAGAGTTCTCACTATCGGACGTGTTCCGCAAATGGCCCAGTTCCCCCGCCAGCCAAACGCAATTAGTATCCGGATTGGAGGCTAAAGGAGTTGAGCAAGTTTTCAAATCGCTCAGGAAACAGATGTTTCATGTAATTTCCACTTTAGGGTTTCTCAAACTTAGTTTTTAATTAAGCAACCGACTGAAAGCAAAACTTTGAGCCACAACAAATGTGATTTAACTTTCCAATGCAGCCGTTGCTATGAGAGGAAAACTTGGCCATTTAGCTTGGTCATTGTGGAAAGCAATCAAAAAGAATCAAATACTTACGCATCCTCTGAGTGACGAAAGGGATCAGAAGATGCAAGTAATGGGAGGTGTCAAAAAGAAAGTTTCGGAAATTTAAACTAAACCAAATTAGATCGTTTTAAGTTGAAACCACTCAAGTCTTTGGTACACACTTAACACCAAAAAGCAACGAAGGATTCACTGTTTAATATTTAATCAACACGAAACACAGGATTTAAGCCAACTTTAAAAATCGAACTGACTTTAAACCGAATACTGAAAATAATCACTTTTTTTTAAAAGGTTCTTAAGCACTTGGTATATACAGTTTTTGGGTAAACATCCCAGTTCTGAACCTCCACTGAAGCGCTGGCGCGTCCGATTCGTTTGGTAGTCGCGTCGCAACTGTTTGGCCGATTTCCGTCTTCCGACTTCCGAGCGAGGCACTGGCTCTCTTCACCACGCTCCTGTCCTGCGCCTCGCAGGTGGGTTCCCCGGAGGAGACTGGGGGGCAGGAGCCGAGGTGGGTTCTGGGCGGATTGTTGAAAATTACTCATTGCCGATGACTGCAGTGTTGACGGCTGCGGTGCGGTATTTTTGGCCTTGTTTTGCCACCCCGACCCTTTCCTCCCACTTCCATTCACATTTTTGGCGGGTTTTTTTAGCAACAAGTTTGACAAAGCCACTGCACAGTGGTCAGGCTTTGGTATCATCTATAAGACGATGTCGGTATTGTAATTTAAGTTTGTTAAATATTTGGTTTTGAATAATACTGCTTACGGAAGATGATGTCGTAGATATTTTATTACTTTACTTTCTCCTATGTAAGCTTTGGAAATTAAGGGTACCTTAAGTTAGATCAAACCAAAACTAAAATATGGTTGTCATATTCCCGAAAATACTCCATAAGCAATGTAGATAAACTCAAGGAAAACTTCAGTATCCAACTTGGGCAAACACAATTTTATTTATCTTTGCAGAATTTATTAATTTATTAATTGATCATCTATGGATCATATGGTTTTAAAATGCATTTTAAATACAATGTATCACCACCCTAAAAATAAGAACAGAAGGACAGATTTCTGGAAAATTGTCTTTTATGTTACAAAAAAGAGACAGTGGATCTGTCCTAAAAAATTATAGTTTTGGCAGTCCTGACAAAAGTCTAAAGGTAAGTCTAGAAAAATCTGAAATTTGTTGTATATCAACAATTTAAAGTAGCTTACATAAAACGAAGTATCCACTCTGGAAGATTTTGAACCAAAGCGTTAAATTTTGTTTTATTTTTCAAACCGTGAGTTCCCAAATACCAAGCGTTAGAAAGCAAAACTAACTATGCTTAAATGCTTAGGTTTGTCTATATTAACTTTTTAAAAAGCCCTTTTGTGTTGTTCTGTGTAATCCAACCCTAAAAACTATTGTAGAAAATTATAAATTATGGTCTCCGTTTTTTTTAAAACCCCAATTTGCCATGAGATTATTTACACACAAACTTACTAACTAACACAAACTAACTATGCTAATATGCTTAGGTTTGGCTAAATTAACTTTTGTAAAGTCTCTTTTTGTTGTTCTGTGTAGTCCCACCCTAAAAACCGTTTTAGAAAATTATAAATGATGGTCTTAGTTTTTTTCGCCATGCGTTTATTTACTCAAATATTTTCCTTGGCCCAAACAGCATGTTTCGGCAACATTTGTTGCTCGCTCTCTCTCCGTTGATTTTTTAGTAGAGCAACAAACTGTTGAGCGTCATTTTGGTGAGTCGTCGCAGTGGGCCAGCACTTCAACAGGCAATTGTCCGTCCATTCGGCAGTCGGACTGGCACTCCACGACCATCATACACTTGCCTGGAATTGCACATAAAATGGAATCGCAATGCGAAACAATCAACATGTCAATTAAATAATGCACACCACCCACAGCGACCAAACTACGAGTAAATTTAATGGAGGGGAGTGCGTGGACACTCGGACTTTTGGACATTTGGACGTTTGGACATTTGTGTGACGGTTTGTCACCGGCAGCAAATGAATCAACCGATTCACTCGCGTGATACACCTGTAAAGGTGCGAAAATGCAAAGCTGTCCCTTTGTTTTTCGCCCCGTTTTTCGCACTTTTTTCAGGGGCGGTGCTGTTGTGGTTGCTGCCACAATATTTACGGCACTCTCGAGTGCCTTTATTTCCGCATGAATCATTCCCAGTTTCAGTTCCAGCTCCACAGCCTGCCCACAACGCGTATAAATTCTTGGCTCTTCCTTTTGCAGGAGGAGTACAGTGAGAAAAAACATTGAGATGTAGGTATTATATGGAAAGTATTAAAAAAAAATTACAAAATTTGAGATCTAACCAAAGAATTATCCTTTAAGTAAGACCAATAATTGATGATAGGTTTGTGGTATATTCAGTATTAGTACCTCCTTAATAATAAAGTTCTTTCAACGGAAAAACACAGCTGATATAATAGAACAAATAAATACTTTTCCCTGTGTCATAGATGAACTTTTGCTTTTTCATGGTGTCTGCCTGTCGCATTTTTTATGAGCTCGCCCCATGTCGACACGACCATCATAGACATTTTTTGGGGCCGGTCATTCTGAAATGAAATTCCAGGAATTTTACGGCCGCTTTGCCTGTTGAATATGTCATCACATGGTGATGGCAGTCCTGTCCTGTCTCTGTTGCTTTTCCATCAGCCGCCAGACAGAGAGCCCCGACAAGGCGGTAATTATGATAAATGCGTTCTTAATAAACTCCGGCGGTGGGCTGGGCTCGTCGGCTCAGGGTGTGATCTCCCACAGACTAATGCATTTTCCTTCCATCATCAACGCACTGTGGCACCTGTACTAATGGAGCTTCCTGCCTCCCTGTCTTGGCCATTAGCACAAAATGCTGTTGCACATTGATCGACCCGACAACGCTAACGTTGTTTTCGAAGTCTCGTTGTCGTGGCTTATCCCGGGGACCCCGGGCCTCTGAAAGTCGGGCACTCAGTCAGTCAGTTGGGCCAAAGCCGTGCTGGTACGTGTTTATAGCCTGATTGCACTTGGGCCCCCACCTGCTGATGTCATTAGTATCGGGAGTCGCATGTGGGCGTGGCAAGTCGTTACACATGCTCTTTAGTTGCATTAACGGTTATTCAATCAACGTTTAACGCAAATTGCCCATTAAAGCTGTCCCATGTTCCTGTATCCCCCGCTTAATGCAAATGTTTGCGTATTATGGCCATGTAATTTGATTAGCTGATAAATGAGGTAGGGCCAACACACGTGCATGCAGGAACACCAGGTTTATTGGCCATGTTATGACTAGCTAATAAGGCTCTTGCACACATATTCACTAAGTCTGGGATAGTATCGCCAAATTCCCAGAGCTGTTCTATACTGTAGTATGCATTTTGGGGTAACTCAAGTAGCTCTTAGTTCTGCTTATGGCTTGTATTGATGTCTGTCTGTTGGAATTTCTGGTCGTTTACGAGGTGTTGGATGAGCTATTAATGTGTAAGTAAACACAGAGTTAAATATGGAATATCCTTTATGTTCTGAGTTAATGACCTTGTTTTAAAAACCAAATAAATATCCCTATTTAATAAACCCATTTAATACCATTTCCTATAAAGCCAGCTCTCATAACTTATAAGTTATAAGCTATAATCCTCACCAACTAAACCGAACTCCCAAACACTTAGCCATGCTCGTGGTGTTCCAGCGTAAATACAAAATTCGCAGTAACGACAATCCCGGCCAAATCCCCGCAAATCAAAAGTTAATAGACGCAATGAAGTCTCTGTCATTTGCATTCAACCAAAAACTTGATTATCCGCGCGATTTACGTGGCGCAATTGTGGGAGGACAGTCATCAGTGGATCGGAGAAGGGAATGGGTCTGGAAATGGGACCCATTCCCAGTGCAAAACCAACTGTGTGCTTAATGAGCTCAGTGAAATGTGTGCTTAAAATTAACTTTTAGCCAACAAACTCGTCGCAGCAAATTGTGCCCGTTGCCGACGCCTCGGTCGCTTTTGGCAGCTGTTGCTCAGCCAGACAACTTTCATGGCTTATAATTACGCATTCAATTCGGCAGGCAGCAACGGCTAAAGCTCCGGCTAAAGTTGGCAGAAGGGTTGGCCAAGATGGCTTTAATAATTAAGTCTCTTGAAAATCAAGACATCGTGTCGGACAACAAAAGTCCCAGAGCAAACACAAGCAAAAAGGGGGGGGGACCCAACGTCCAAGGAGGTCCTTGAAATTGTGCCAGGATTTCGCCAGGGGTCGTCTTGTCCATGGGCAACTGGCAACTGGCAAATGTTGTCATCTGCAAGCCAACATCCTGCGAATGCAGCCCTTCGGAAAGCAATTCGTGCCAGTAAAAAACTAATTTCTCGCTTTGTTGAGCATAATTTTATGCAATTGTTTTCTGATTAAATTCCCGAGTGAAAAGTGCCCTGACAGACCCGCATGAAGCCTGCCACTTGTCCGAGTGAATTTGCATTTGGGACAGCTTATCGTTCCGGTTTTCTGGACAGCGGAAGCAAATGAACGCATCCGCAGTGCACACTTAATCGATTTTGGCATGGCTTTCAATGCGTTTTCATGAGCATCTTGCTGTTGCAATTAAAATTCTCATTATTTGCTGTCAGGCGGCGCCACATGGCGGATGCTTGATGTTCAATTGGGACGTTAATCGCCCGATAATTGGATTAATTAATGGCCAGGCAGCGGAACGCCTTTAATGGGGGCTGAACTGCCGAACCGCCGAGCCATACACCCATCTTGCCACCTTGAGGTGGCAAGTTCAATGGCGTTCACGGCGGAACCCTAATGGGTTTTTCGACTGGGGGAGAACCGTTTCGTATCGTATCTATCGTATCGTATTGTATCGGGTGCATTGAACGGAGCACCATCTGCCACATCCGACGGCATTGGGCAGCATAGAAAAAACGGAATTGGAAAACCGAAACCAATTTACATTCTGTTTACCTTTTCGCCAGCACACCTCTGTGACTACCGTCTTTGCTTTCGACAGCGATGAACCAGTATCTATATCTGGATAGTTGTACCTCCTTCTGATTTCATGAAAAATATCTCATCTATCAAGGTTCATCAGCTAACTTACCAAAACTTTACAATTTACACGTAGTATAGTATAAGCTATTATAATTATTTTATTATAATAATAAATAAACAATAAATTTTCTTTCAGTCGATCCAATTTTACAACACAAAAATGGTAGTACATTATGTTTATGTCTTTGTCTGACTTGTAAGCAAAAAACCCTGATAAGCATATAAAAGGACTAATTTGTAAAGCTGAAATAAATTGGTTTCCTTGAAAAATGGATTTATAGAAGTACGCAGTTGAGTGGTATATAAATTTAATGCGAAATAAATGAC